AAAAAATTCCAAACCCGATTTATGATTCAAAAGCATAAAAATTCAAAAGCATTACAACCCTTAATAATGTGAACCCTAAAATGACATCCTAATTTGAACAATCCTAATAATGTGAACAATCTGATATCGAACCCTAATTTCATCACCACAACCACACTGACAAAGCATAAACATTCATAACCATATTCAATTCACAAGCAACATCCAAAAATTCAAAAGCAAAAAAATTCCACAAATTCAAAACCATTCGTAACCCGTATGCCAAAAAATTCCAAACCCTAATTTCATAACCACAATGATAAAAACCCTAACACATTTAATAATTCACAAGTAAAACCTTAACATTGACAGAAAAATACAACACATTTACAAACACAAAAACTAAATACATAAAATTAGGGTTAATGTCATACCACGGAGAGAGAGAGAGCAGAGACAGAGAGCGAGAGCGAGCTGAGATGGAGGAGCGAGAGCAGAGAGAGAGAGAGCGAGCGAGAGCAGAGGGCGAGCGAGAGTAGAGAGCAGAGACCAGAGAGCGAGAGCGAAAAACCTAAGTCTGAAAATCTGAAAAACGTATGCAAATGAGGGGGGGTTCGTTGGTATATATGAGGACTTTAAAAACGCTGATCGAAAAAGCGTTTTCATTTAACTGAAATCGCTATTAGAAATAGCGTTTTTTTGGCAACAAAATTTGAACTGAAATCGTTATTAGAGATAGCGTTTTTTCTGGGAAATTTTTTTTGTTAAAATCGCTATTAGAAATAGCATTTTTGGGTAAAAAGCGCTGTTAAGAAAAGCGTTTTTATCCGGACAAAAACTAACGCTAGAAGCGCTATTTGTAATAGCGAATTCTTAGTCAAAGTCGTTATTTGTAATAGCGATTTTCCTGTTCATCTACTTTTGCGCTCCTAACAGTAAAAGCGCGAATAGTAATGACGCTTTAACTTAGTTTTGAAATTCTGTCAGAAGTTGGCCTAATTTTAAAAATACAATGAAAAAATGGCTTATATTGGGAAAAGCCTCCGAAAAAATGGAGTGGGTGTAAAATGGCATGGAAACCCACATCCCATTTGGAATGCCAAAGTTTAGCTTAAAAATACGAATCGGCGGACTTGCACACAAGAACATAGATAATTACAGTGACAGTGATTGGGTTTAGGGTTTATCAGGAAGAAGATGGAAGGGAGGCGAGTGAGAAGGTTTGGGAGGGTACAGACTCGAACCCTCCTTCCCTTACACATCAAGCGTCTCTCCAACACCGTTTCCTGTTGGTACGTTTTCATTTTCTTCTTCATTCGTTTTTGATTGATGAAGAATTTAGAAGAAAAAAAATTCACTCTTGCATTGCAGGTACTGCGACGTCAAGACCTCTGCCTTCAATGATCCACTCTTCCGCCTCGGACGAACATATTCCAGGTTTTATTTACTTGCTCATTTGGATGGATGAGCTTGTTTTCGTTTTTGTGTTATTTATTTATTTATTATTTACTTGTTCATTAGGGTTCATCAAATTTCCACACACCAATCACCATTGTTTGCTTCCAATTTTCTGAATATTGAGTTTTTTTTTTTATTATAATTTTTATAATTTTTTAGTGATTTTTTTACTATTTTAAGCAAAAAAATTTTACTCTTTATTATTAGATAGATACATAATATAAATACAATTAAAAAAATATAATATTTGTGGAAAAAAAATTCAAAAAATTCACTAAATACCCAAAATATATATTTTTAAAAAATATGAAAATTCAATACATTTTCGTATTATTGTGTATTTATTGATTTTGAAAATATTTTTTGATAAATATTTCACTTTTTAAGTACATCTAGGTTAGATGTATTTAAAAATGTAAAAAATTTGCTTAAAATATTAAAAAAATACATTAAAAACAAAAAACTTAATTTTTAGAAAATTGAATTCCGAAAATTGGAACAAATGAATGAATTGCCAAACGAAAAACCAGATGTGTACTAATATCCTTGTATTGTTAGTCATTTTGATTAATGATATAATTGTAATAGAATTTTATTCATTTTTAGCGTGTGAATTGAGAGAAAATGGCGTGTGCTTGGAAATAGAATGACCCCGAGAATAGGATTGACAATTGACCCTGTTCCGACCCAATCCTTTATGGGCATATCTTGGCTCGGTCTCGTGTGAGTTTTTCTGTTTTCCTGTTCAATAAGAAAATGGGAAGTTAATGAATTTTGCTTCCCCCGGCCCCATTCCGTTGCCATTTATACTAAAGGGATTGTGGCCTAAGCACTTGGAGGAGTTTGGTTCGTCTTGGTTATATAGCTACGAATACTGACACAGTCATACAATATGTACAGGTATTTGCGAGTTTGGTTTGCAGCTGGGATCGGTTTTAGTCTAACGGCAATGCTTGGAGTTTGTATGGTTAGAGCCAAAATGTTATCTTTGTTTTGTATCAGATGTATCTGCAACAGTTCTGTTTCTTAGTATTTTCTTTCTCTTCTTTGCTTTGTATGGGAGGGCAGATTCTTCTATGGGAATTAGCCAGAGTGCTGCATTTGTATGATGGCAATGCCTGGCTTAGCAGGCTTCTGAGTGGCTCCTTGTTTGGGATTTTCCCTTCGGTTAGTGCCTGATTTGTATGCTTCATTTCTTGTTATTTGACATTGACGACTGTCTATGTTCTCATCTGGATTTCTTGGGCTTATATAGGCTACTCTGTTTCTCCAAAAGTTTTAGTACGCTTATTGATTGGATTTTGTCTACTGTATCCCATCTATATGCATCCACGTGATATTGATGAATTGTAACCCCTGTATTTCAATGAAAACAAAGAAAGTATCTCAATCATAGAGTGCCAAATAGATACTGCGGGAAATAGAGTTTCAGCCCAACTAACTCATTTCAATTGTTTTTGTGTATAATGTTATTTAAAAAATAAGGATATTGTCATATAAAGAGAGAGTTCAAACTAAGTTGGGAGCTATTAATTTGTGTAAGTCCTATTTTTCCAATCAAATGTCAATATGTGAGCTTTTGAATTATTGACTAACATGTATTTATTGACTTCATATGGTGCTATTGCTCTATGTATGTTTTACTTATCATTAGTTGAACTGAGTATTCTTTGATACGAAGTGTTTGGATGACATCTAATGAATTGTTAAGCAAGTAAATTGATGGCCAAACAAGGAGCTCTTACTTGATTAGAGAGCTTCAATTCTTTGGCTTTTAGTTTTAGTGGTTGAATCTTGAAATAGTGAAGAGGTCCTCATTGAGTCTGCTGATTTTCTTGCTCAACGATTCATGCCATTCAAATGCCTCACATTGGAAAACAACTTATTTAAACTTAAAATGAGTGAAGAATATATATATTGAAAGCTCCTTATTTTTTAATTCTCCAGTTCTGTTTCTGCTATTTGCATACTTTAATATAGGGCTGTTCATAGAACTGAATCACCCGAAAAAACTGATCAAACCGACCAAATATTGCTTGCCACGGACAGTTTCGCTTTACTATACGGTTGGCAGCGGATCAACAAAGTTATATAATTTCAAGTGGCGGTCGGCTTGCGGGTGCACCAATAAAAAAATCATAAAATACCGACCGACCGAAATATATTAATATAATATAATTTATACGTGGCTTGTTATTGTTGACATACCATAATACATTATCTCCAAGTTTCTAGAAATCTTATTTCAAACTTTATCTTTCTAGCTTTCTAGAGGTGTCTTTTCACTGTCCAACTCTTTGTCTTCTCACCACCATAATAACTCCTTCCTCTCTCTAATAGTACTTCAGTCAAAGAGTACTATCCTCTCTCTCACTCACGCATATCAATAACTTCTCTCTCTATCTCTCATTATTTCAGTCTATAGAGACCTTCTCTCTTATTTCCCTTCCGTCTCTGTATTTCTCCATATCTCCTTAGTATCAGATTGTGATGATGGAGGCCTCTGTATGAGACAGTGGCGATGGCTCTAAGATCACATTCGAGATGGCAGTATCTTCTTTGTTTCTTATTTTTTCTCCTCATCCTTGCATCCCTATTTTATCACCCTCTTCTGAAACTTTCATTCCCTCCCTCCATCTCTATTCTGTGAATCTGTGATCTTCCTCTTCTGAAACAATCATCCCCTTCTTCTTTCTCTGATTTTCCTCGCGCATAACCCTTATTATGTTCTATTGAGTTGAGGAAGATGGAAAGTGACGATACCGACCGAAGTCCGACCGATTTTTCAACACCCGAGACAACCGGTTTCGAATTGTGATCAGACGAGTGCGGGTGATATGTTGTTCAAACTGATGATGTCGGTTCGGGTGACAGGTGGCCGGGAAAATCGGTCTAACCCAACCTGTGAACACCCCTACCTTAATATTTGTTTTTTATTTTGAAAGATTAGGGTTGTCATAGATTAAGCACATCACCCCAGTAATTAAGCTATGTGAATATATATTAAAAAAGAATAGGTGTGATGTACAAGGGACATAGCACATGGCAATACACTAGGATGGAAATCATCCACCCCAAAATAGTAGATGAGGAGCTCCTGATATATAGCTACATAGTTATACAATTATGTTAGAATATAGAATTTTAGAATATAGAAATTCCCTATTTCATTCTTTTGTATATTTAGTATCTTTATTTATGCCTTAGAATGCTCCTGTAATTATGCCAATGAGTTAATATAAAAGAGGGTGTGATATCACTCATACCTCTAACTTTTCTCTTCTCTAAATTCACATGATATCGGAGCCACAATAAGAGGAACCAACCACCTTGCTTCCGCCGAAGGCCACCCATACCCAAACCCTAGCCTGCGTAGGCCATTCACCACCTTGTCTGAGTTCGTCGCACCCCACCCAGCGCAGCCGAAGGTCAGGCGACTCTCCCATCACAGTCGCAGCCTCTGTTGGCAGCCCTAGCCTGCTCCTCTAGGCCTTTTGGCAACACCTGGTTGGTCGCCTAGTGCTGGTTGATCGACTGGTGCTTTTGTGGCCCTCACAAAAAAAAAAAATGCAGTAAAAAAAAAAAAAACTAGGTTCTTAATTTTATGATTTTTTAGTTACTAATTGTGCTTATTCCTCCACCATCTTCCGAGTTTGTGATTGGTCCTGAGTTTGAGGGTTACTTAGTAGAATATTCATGGCAGATTTTACTAGTGAGTCAACAACTTCTTAGCCGCTTAAGAGTGAGAGTTCTGTTATACCTTCTACTATGACTGATAATCTCAGTCCTGGCCTTAAAATCACCACTTCTCTATTCAATGGTAAGAACTATCTAGCATGGTTGCAGAATTTGATTATTTTCTTGAAGAGCAGAGGGAAAATGGGGGATGTCGATGGCCAGATACAGGCATCCACCACTACAGATCCGAGTTATAATCAGTGGGAGATCACCAACTCCCTTATTATGGGTTGGTTGATATATTCTATGGTCCCGGAGATCGGAGAGGGCTATCTCTCTATAGACACTGCACAAGATATTTGGGAGGCAGTGACTACCACTTACTCCCGGAAGAGGAACTTCTCGGTATAAGGTGAAATGACTATCCTTCAGTATTTTACCTTTCTTAACAATGGATGGAAGCGACTTGATCACCTTCAGGATTACAAACCTGTCTGTCCCAGTGATTCTGTTGGTTACCGGAAGTTTATGGCACAAGAGTGGGTCTTCAAGTTCTTGGAAAGTTTAAATGTGGAGTATGATCCGGTTCGGAGTAGAGCATTTGGCATGGATGTGCTTCCTTCTCTTCAGGAAGCCTTTACTTTTGTGCAGAATGAGGCGAGTTGCCATTTTACTATGCTTCCGGCTACCTTTTCTAGCCGATCTGCCCTGATTTTTGCACCCTCTAGAGATGGGGATCGTGGTTCCTGTCCTTCTTTTGAGAAGGATATCCTCTTTTGTGCTGGAAATTTGTGTTAATGTATATAATAAGATAGTGGTGTTGGTGGCATGTATATAATATGATAGTGGTGTTGGTGGCATGTATAGAATATGATAGTGGTAGATAATAAGATAGTGGCATATGTAAGTGGCATATAATGGGTTATAATGATATTTGTAATATCTCCTATATAAGGAGTGTCATTTGGTCTTAGATAAGAAGTTTTGAATATAACAGAAATATATTCCTTCTTCCTCATATTTTCGGAGTTCTTCTTCCTCATATTTTCTAAGTTGGTATCAGAGCAACAAAAAACACAGCAGCCCTAAAACCGTCATAGCCATGTCGGAAGTCACGTCCGAAACCACTTCAACCCCTGCCGCTGCCATTCCGGTGAAAACGTCCAACTCTCACTCTGTCCAAATCACCACCATCCGCCTAAATGGTGATAATTTTCTCCGCTGGTCACAATCTGTCCGGATGTATATCCGTGGGCAAGGAAAGATCGGTTACACCACTGGTGACAAGAAGGCTCCTGCTGTGAATGATCCGCTGTTCGACAATTGGGACGCTGAAAACTCCATGGTTATGACATGGTTGGTCAATTCGAGAGCTCGATAGCATCATAGCACCTCAACCTGATCCCAACTAGGTTGACACCAAGAAGGATGCCCAATCTTGTGCTAGCTCAAGCCAAAATGTTGGTGAGAAACCAACAACAAACAGAAAAATCACCCCAAAACAAAGGAGTAACAAACAATCAAACCGACCCCACCTGTTAAAACTACCAAACAGCAGCCATCTATCCTACAGACAACAATCTCCACAGCCAAAAATTAGCCCAGAATTCTGATTCTGTTCCGTTGCCTGGAGCAAGATCTTACTTGCTGAAGGTTGAACGCCACATCATTAATAGAAAAATATATCCCATGTGTTATATTTCAACCATAAAGCAATTCTAACCTTCAGCAACTCCCCAAAATCCGTAAAATCTGGTTGAATTGCATTGAACACAAATTCATTTTTGAGCTTCCACACAGACCACGTGATAGCAAAAGGAATAGAATGCCATATCCTCCTTTCAAACCTGCTACAGCTTGTACCTAACCACCATTCCAAAAGATCTCCAATAGACCCAGGAATTACCCAAGACAAGTTCCACCAATCCAATAATTTAGACCACATTCTCCATACCAAAAGGCAATGTAGTAGGATTGTAATAACCCTCACGCTATCCTAACCATACTCGTATGCATTCATGTGATTCTTTCTTGTAAAGTTGCATTTCGAGTCTTGTCCTTGTTCGTTTAAGTGTTATAGCATGTTTTGTACCTTGCTTGGTGTGAGTTTAGCCGAGGTCGTCTTCATGTCTAGAATTATCGTGAAACCACTTTGTTTGACCTCCACCTTCACCCTGACATATCGGCCGAGATGTCATTATCTAGGCCAAGGCGTTCATCACCAAGGCCGAGGTGTGAATTATCTAGGCCGAGATGTTACCTTTGTACCTAAGTGATCTTGTCCCGAAAAGGTATGACCTAGACTGAGGTGTGGCACATCTAGGCCAAGGTGTGGCACAGCTTAGTCAAGTGTTGACCTTCCTAGTCGAGGTCATTATCCCCTACTTGCAAATGTCTTGTTATTAGCCGAGATCATTACTCGCCAGAGTGCCCATGCCGTCTTGCTTGTTGAACACACTTTGTCATAGTCTTGTCT